TATTATTATTCTTTGATTTTGGAGTAGAAATTATGTTTACAATGTTATTTTAATTCCTAGTAGCATGCTTAGGATGTTTTTATGATTTCTAGGATCATGTTTAGGTTAACGCTTTGATTTTGATTATTAGTAACATGCTAGGATTTGTTATTAATCCGTTTAGTATCATGCCTAGGATCTTACTAACGACGTTTTTTATGATGTTGTTATGATGATAATTGTTGTATTAATCACATGTTGCTTGATTATTCATGATGATTTATTACTATTGCTTGATCACGCTCCTTTCTTGCAGGTTTAAAGGGAATTTGTACTTGAAATCACGCCTAATAAGATAATTAATAATTTGATTTAGGCAATTATGATTTTAATTCAAGTGATAATAGATTTGATTCTTCATTAATAATCAACCAACATAGAATTAAACAGTTTTAGGATTAATTTGATGTATGTATATGTTGATCGAAAAGCGCACATGAATATCATAAGAATTAAGTAGAGGCCTATTTAGAGCGGGTTCACTCTCTTTAAGGTTGGATTCGTACCATCATCCTCGAACATCCAGTCATGGTTGCGGACCACTATGGAGTTAGCGATCTCTGTGACCATGAATGGGGTGTAACCTTCACACCCGTGAACGGTTTACAAGTTCCTAAAACTTGTTGGCGACTTTTTTTCATCTAGGTTCTTTTCCTTGGAAAGCCGCCAGGCTTAAAAACATGATACCACAGTAGGGCAAGAGTTGAAAAATTCCCTTAAGGGGGTATGCTAGTAATTACCATGAGAATAAATATTGATTTATCTTACAAATTTATGCTCGCATACAAATTCATTCTTATTATCACTATTTTAAATTACTACTTATCAAATAGGTTGTGTGAGTAGTACATAAACACAAACGTTCTACCATAATGTTAGAATTAAAACAACATTGAGAATTGCTTCATATCATAAATTAGGGGGGAAAATTGAATAAAGATCAAATAAACCAAGGGATGACATACTTTCTCCGCTCTTTTTTAATTGCAACGTTAGAGATTTTACACTTGATAATGCACATTTTATACAATTAATATATTTAATCATACATCGGTAAAAGATTATAAAAAAAAAAGTTAGTACTTTATATTTTAAAAGTATATACGAGACAAATCTAAAATACTCCACAAAACTATGTTTTTCTAAGATTTTGTCACAAAAGATGGACAAAATAGTTTGCATGAATAGTGTAAAATTTTCAAAATTCCCAAAAAAAGAAAATATATATATATATATATATATATATATATATATATATATATATATATATAAATAAAAGATAATTTGTCATAAGTTAGTGATTAAAAAAATTAAACTATAAACCATGTTGTTAAGAAAATATATTAGTGATGACAAAATATATTATGATGAAAAATATATTAGTGATGACAAAATGTGATTATAAGCATTTGTACATGTTTATGAACAAAAATAAATTGGTAGAGAGGAGATGATCGAGACTAGTAACGCAAACTCTCTACTCCTTTTCTCTCCCCCCCCCCTTCTTCTAGGGTTTTTTAAATTCTTGGCTGTTTAGGCCGGAAATAGTCTAATTTCTTCAAAATTTAGACTATTTTCGACCCTTTTCCCTTGATTTTCTTTAGTTCTCGGATTTAGGTTTCAATAAATCTACGAATAGTGTAGATATTCGTTCGTCTCCCTATGGCAGAGTGTCTCTCAATGGTGGAGTCATTAGTGTTTGTTAGTTTAGTTTTTTTTTTTGTTTAGGGTTTTTTTTGTGGGTTAGGGTTTATTAAAAAGGTAATTATCTTTTTCCCTATTATTAGTTCATTGGTAAAGATTTGTTCGGAATCGCAACAGTTGTCAAGTTTTCAATTACGTTCAAATGAATCAAATGAAAATCATCATTACAGCTACAACAAATCGTTAGACCGTCTCTCCAAAAAGGCTGTATATTACAGTGATGTGTGCGAGAGATGTACAACAGTGCAAGATTTATTCAACGATCGTAGCTTTGATGAAGGAAACTCTTATTTGATTCAATTTTATGTATTTGTTAATTTAGATTTCATTTGTAAACGTCGTATGACTTTTTATTAATGAATTGATTTGTTTCAAAAAATGAATTGATAAAGAGGAAATCATCCCATGGATGTCCAAGCTCTAGAAGTTTGTTTTCTATGCAATATTTAGTACATAGTTGCTATTTTTTTAATTTTTTTTTTATTTTTTTTTAATAAAAAACAATCACATGGTCTACCTTAAGTGTTATTTAAAGTAAATAAATAAGCGCATCTATTAGATAGCGAAGATGAGATGACTTCTTATTTATTTTCTGAAGAAATGAAGTTCAAATCTTGACGCATACAATTCATATCTCTCATCGGATTACATGGCACACTCTTAGTGGAAGAGAGGAGTAACATTTGACGTGTATACTTGATTATGTAGATTCTTTGATATAGAATATATTACTATGTTTAGGAGATATTTTATAAGAATATATCTTTACATATCTTAAATATCCTTACATATTATGTTAGTTAATTAATTAAAAGAAATTACGAGTGACTGAACCCTACGAGTATCCATCAACGAAAATCCTCTTGAGACTCGTAACCTAGAGTATTTGGTTAGGTAGTCTAGAGTCTTAGACCATGAGAAGCATCAACATTCATGGGGCTCCCCATAGTTTCTCTCTCCTCACCTCATTAGTCCATATCACTTTTCATTAACTTTATCACATATCTTTCCCATTTTACAATTCCATACTTACATTCATTAACCTCCCATTTATTTTCTCTCTCCTATTTTTCCATACCTACATTGATGCAAGTTGAGCTCACTTGAATTTTTGGAAGACTTTCCATCAAAATAACCTCCCCAAAAATATTTGTCAAATGGGGAAGTAGTGACATTGGTGGGAAGGTCCCTACATACTTATTTTGTCAATAATGACCCTAATTTCCAATGAATGTGAATGCTCTTAGCCCATGGAGCGTGGCCCGCGACTCTTGGCTCGGTCTACCATGAAATTAGTATAACAAAATACGGGTGTTAATCACTTTAAGTCTTGAGGGTGTTTTAAAGGAATCTCTAATCTTTAGGGGTGTCAATTTGGGTAAACAGTTTGGGTTTGGGTTGGGTTTATCAGTTTCGGGTTATAACGGATCGGTTTTATAACGAGTTGAAATGATTAGCGGGTCGGTTTGGGTCGATTTTGAAAATTATCGGGTCAGTTCGGTTGGTTTTTTTATTTTTTTTTATTGTGGTTTCTATTCGGATTGGGTCCTAATCGGGTAGGGTTGAAGTCGGTTCTGGTCATAATCAGTTTGGGTTGAACCTGGTTGGTTTGAAAACGGGTTTAGCTAGTTTAAAGTGGGTTTCGGTTCAAAACAGTTCGGATCCTAATCAGGTCGGGTTGTAATCGGTTCGGGTCATCATCAGTTTGGGTTAAACTGGGTCGGTTTGAAAATGGGTTTCGGTTCAAAACAAATCAGGTGAAATCGGGTCCGGTCATTATCGGTTCAGGTCATAATCGGTTTGGATTGAACTTGGTTGGTTTGAAAACGGGTTTACCCAATTTGAAGCGGGTTTCAGTTCAAATCATATCGGGTTAAAATCGTATGGGATCCTTATCGAGTCGAGTTAGTCAGATAATGGGTAGGAACAGGTCATGTTATAATCAAGTTAAGGCATAAATAAGTTGGGTTTATCAAGTAATGGGTTGAAACGGATCAGATCATAAACGTGTTGGATTACGGGTTGTAAACGACTCAGTCATAACTGGTTACGGGTCGTAAACGGTTCGGTCTCAAGGGGTTACGGGTTGAAAACGGTTCGGACACAATGGGTTATGGGTTATAAATGGTTCGGTCACAATGGGTTACGAGTTGGAACGGTTTAGGTTTATCGAATTTTTGTCGGGTTTAACCGGTTTTCGGTTTAAAATGGGCCAGGTTACTATCAGGTTCAGACGTAAGCGGTTTGGGTTGTTTTCAGTTTCGGGTTGTAACGGTTTGGCTTGATAACGGGTCGGGTTAGTAACAGTTCGCACAAATTCGATTCAGTTCAGTTTCGGATTGGAAAAAATTGGATTTGGTCGGTTTTCGTTTTCAAAAACGGATTTTTAACGGTTCAATTCCTTTTCGATTCAATTTAAAACAGTCAGATTTAACAATTCGGATCAAAAACTGATAGCTATACTAATCTTTGTACGTTACATTTGAAGAAGCAAGAGAAACATCATCTTAAACTCCTTTTAGTAAATGCACTACGATTAGTAGACTATTACTGTGCTCTTTAATTCTCACTACTACACTCGATTTAAATAAATTAAAAAAAAAAAAAAAAAAAAAAAATGACCCACAAAGGCCACAATATATCCACCCACTATCCTGTCTATTTTACTAAAAGTACAACGGGTCGAAATCAACCAATAATATAAGGTAAAAAGTAGACATCACAAAATTTGACCTACGTAAGAATTATATACCCAAAATTATGTTCTGTTTTAATCTGACCCAACGAAAAATTTGATGTGACTAATAATAATTGCAAACAAAAAATTATAATTACTATCAAAAAAAAAATACTACTTCGGTTTTAAATTGGTAGTACTTCATATTTACTCGGTATTACGTATAACACTATCTAATCAATTCCAAGTGTTACAAACTTACAGTTATTATGGAGTTAATAAGAAAATAAACAAGGGAACAGGATACGATCAGTTAAAACTCAGACCCTAACCATCTTGAAATCATACATAAGTACATAACTTGTTAACAATATTATCATCCAAACTAGTCACAAATCTTGGACACAAATATTGAAGGAATCAAAGTTTAAACTTATAACCTCTATTTCAAAAGGTCAAAATTAATCACTGTGCTATAATATTATTATGTTAAAAACTAGGATTATTTAAATTTATTTTTGATCCAAACTTAACTCAAACTAATCTCAATCCAAACGTCTTGAACTTCGACTCGATATTCGTATAATCGTAACTTTACAAACCTTGGGAAAAGAAGAGAAAAGAACGGTCTAAGGTTAGATTTGTCCAATTCATAGATACAACCGTATAGCAGTAGTGCCCGTAGTGGGCACCGAAGCAGTCATTAGGAGAGATTAGAACGGTAGACAGACAGACAGACAGACACAGAGGAAACTGAAAAGGAAACTCCAAACCAAATTAAAGAGTTTTCAAAAAAAAAAAAAAAAAAAATTAAAGAGAGTTCTTCTTTTTTATCAACTTATAAACACATCTCAACTCTTTTACTTTTCTTTTCTTTCTTATGGTTAAATTATTAATCACATTCATTTTCTTTTCTGGAATTATAATGTCAGAAATTTAGCACCCATTACTATTTTTCTTTGTTGCAAGATTAATTTTTTGGTAACTTCAAAAAACTGATTTTAATTTGACTTGCAGAGCACCCATGTCTTCAAAGTCCAAGTAAGTAAACTTCTTTTCTATTTTTTTTCCTGTCATTTAGATCTGATTTGGTTTTTTTGTTGCTGTTTGATCTTGATTTTTTTTTTTTTTTTTGGGTATTTGGGTGAAATGGGTTACTCTTAATTTCTGCTAATTTTATATAATTACCATGAAAAAAAAAACCCAATATCATAATTTAATTATAGAAAATGAGAAATTTTTAAATGGGTAATTACTGTTACTATAAAATATTATGATTAGTTGGGGTTTTTTTCCAGTGAAATTTGATGAGATTGTGATATACCAATTCTGATTATACTGTAAAAAAATGGGATTTTTTTTTTGTGTTGGATCTAACTAAAATTTGGACCTTTTCTAAGTTTTCTGTAACATGGGAACTAGTAATGTTATATTTATGCTTACTATTTTTGGTAAGTTGATCTGCAATTGCAATGTGTAATGATCACATTATGAACTATGGGCAGATCTGATACTCCCAGCAGCAAGTCTGCAACAACTACACCTAGAGTTGCCAAATTAGGTAAGGCAGGATCACTAAAATCAGATGCTGATTCACCTTCTCCTGTTCAGAATTCGCGGCTTTCGATTGATCGGTCCTCACCACGGTCTGTTACTTCAAAGCCATCCATTACTCGATCCACCACTCGAGTTTCGACACCAGAAGTATGTTTAACTGATTCCCTGATATCTCATTTTGAATTATGTTTTTTTGGTGTTGTTTTATCAGTGTAGGGTGTACTTAGATGTTGCTGGTATATTCTGTAGAACCCATCTGTTAAATGAAAGTAGTAGTAAGTGATAATTTTGTGACTGGATATCGAAATTGATTGGTGGAATTGTAAGCTTTTGGGTGCTAATGCTTTTTCTTTTGTATATATAGGTGTATTTACAAGTTTATTTGATGATTTTTTGGTTGGTATCTACTGTGAGAATAGTAGTTTCAGCTACTCAAAATCGAATGTGATTGGTTGGAATGTGATACTCTTTTATGGAAATTGAATGGGATTGGCAGGAATGTAATATTCTTTTGTGGGAATTGAATGGGATTGGTTGGACTGTAATATTCTTTGATGTGAATTAGTATATAATGTATTATTCTGATGCAAATTTCTGTTTTTGTTCATTCAGAAGCCACTGCCGCGTATTTTTAAGCCATCAGAGTTGCAGGCCCAGTTATCAGCTGCGCAAGATGATCTGAAAAAGGCAAAAGATAAGTTACATTTGGCTGAAAAAGAGAAGAATCATGCTCTCAATGAGTTGAAAGAGGCAAAGAAACAAGCAGATGAAGCTAATAAGAAGCTTGAGGAGTCTTTGGTGGCTCAAAAGCAAGCCGAGGAGAGTTCAGAGATTGAAAAATTTCGAGCTGTTGAATTGGAGCAAGCAGGAATTGATACTGCACAGAAGAAAGAAGAGGAGTGGAAAAAAGAGTTAGAAGCAGTGAGGAGTCAACATGCTTTAGATATGACTGCTCTTCTCACAGCTACTGAAGAGCTTCAAAGGATTAAGCAGGAGTTGGCGATGGTTACTGATACTAAAAATCAGGCTCTTAGCCATGCTGATGATGCCACCAAGATTGCTGAGATTCATGCTGAAAAGGCCGAACTCCTCTCAGCGGAGCTTGCAAAGCTGAAGGGTTTGCTTGAGTCAAAGGATGATGGTGAAGATTCTGAGAATGGGTTAGTTGCAGAATTGAGATCAGAATTGGATTCTTTGAGGAAAGAACTTGAAAAGGCTAAGAACTTTGAACAAGAACTCCATGAGAAAGATAAATCTTATGAGAAGATTGTGGAAGATTTGAATTCGGAGCTGAAAATCCTGCGGGAAGAGCTTGACAAGGCAAGGGCATGTGAGCAGGGCTTGGTTGATAAGGAAAAGTCCTATGAACTAACAGTGGCAGAATTGAAATCAGAAATGGCTTCTTTGGAAGAAGAGCTCAAGAAGGCGAAGTGTAGTGAGCTGAATTTTATAGAGAAGGAGAAGTCTTATGAAAATGTTGTAGATGAACTTAAATCAGAGTTAAATTCTCTACAACAAGAGTTTGAGATAGCGAAGGCCTTCAAGGTAGAGTTGATTGAAAAAGAAGAGTCCCACAAGACAGTTGTTACTCAGCTACAGTTGGAAATTGATTCCTTAAAGAAAGAGCTTGAAAACGCTAAGTATTTCGAGGAAGAGTTGGCTGAGAAGAAGGTATCCTTTGACGTGACTGTTGTGGAGCTCAAGTCAGAGATAGATTTCCTGAAACAACAGCTTGAAAAGGCCAAGGATCTTGAAGAGGATTTGGTCGAGCGAGAAAAATCAAATGAAAAAACTGTGAGGGACTTGGAATCGGAGATGCATTCTCTACAGCAAGAGCTACAAGTGGCAAAGGGCTTCCAGGAGAAGTTGGTTCAGAAGGAAGAGGCTTATGAGCAACTAAATGTAGAGTTGGAAGCTGCAAGGATGGCTGAATCGTATGCCTTAAATTTACTAGATGAATGGAAAAGCAGAGCTGAGGAACTGGAATTGAAGGTGACAGAATCAAATAAATTGGAGAAATCGGCGTCAGAATCAGTTGAGTCAATTTTGAAGCAGCTTGAAGGAAATAGTGACTTGCTACATGACGCAGAATGTGAAATTGCAGCTCTTAAGGAGAAGGTTTCACTGTTGGAAATCTCGCTTGAAAACAAGAAAGTAGATTTGGAGGAATCGGAGCGCCATCTAGAGAAAGCAAATGAAGAATCTAGGGAGGCAGCTAAGAAGATGGAATCTCTTAGGTCAGAGCTTGAAACTGTGATGGAAGAGAAAGCCCAGGCTCTGGAAAATGAGAGGCTTGCAGCTTCTAGTGTTCAGGACCTTTTAGAAGAGAAAAATAAACTGATTAATGAGATGGAAACATTGAAAGAAGAAGAGGAGAAGAGCAAGAAAGCAATGGAAAGCTTAGCTTCAGCTTTGCATGAAGTTTCTGCTGAAGCAAGGGAAGCCAAAGAGAGCTTGTTATCAAGTCAAGCGGAACATGAAAACTTTGAAACACAAATTGAGCATCTGCAGCTGGTTCTTAAAGCAACAAGTGAGAAGTATGAGGCCATTATTGAAGATTCAAAACGAGAGATCGATCACCTTACAAACACAGTGGAACAATCGAAGATAGATTTTGATATCCAAATGGAAGACCTGAAGGAGGTTTTGAAGGCATCGAATGAGAGGTATGAAAGCATGCTTGATGAGTCCAAGCAGGAGATTAACCATCTTACAGAAATGATGGAGCAATCAACATTAGAGCACCAAAACCAAAAGACCGAGTGGGAGGTAAAAGAGCTGGAGCTGAATAACTGCATAAAGAGGCTAGAAGAAGAGAAATCAATAGTTGAACAGTCGGGGCTGAGTTACGAGGACACTAAGGCTGAGTGGGAACAGAAGGAGCTGCAGCTGGTGAATAATGTAAAAAGATCTGAAGAAGAAAAGTCCTCAATGGAAAAAGAAATAATGAGGCTGGTGCACTTACTTAGGGAAGCAGAAGAAAAAGCTGGTGCAGCACAGGAGGAAGGATCTCAGTTAAGGAGTTCGCTCAGGGAAGCAATGTCAGAGACAGTTTCCTTAAACGAAGCCCGTGATGAAGCTGAGGCTGAGAGTTTGAAGTTGAAGGACAGCCTGCGTGCTAAAGAAAATGAAATGCAAAATATGATTAGAGAGATCGAACAGCTTCGGGCTGCAGAAGATGCAAATGTCTGGAAGATAGACGAATTGACCAAATTGCTTGAAGAAGCCAAGGCCTACCAAAGAACCCGAGAAAATGGTGAGCTCTCAGACAGTGACAAAGAGTACGATATGCTCCCAAAAGTGGTAGAGTTTTCCGAAGAAAATGGACATTGTGGCGAGAATATGCCATCAGTAGAGTTTCTACCTCAGCAAACAGAAGCAAGTGAAAAGCATTTGCCTGTTGAACTGAGCAATGGTGTGAGCAAGGGAGCCAAAACTGTTGATGTTTCAGTTGAGCCTGAGAATAAAGATAATGGTAAACCCACTGTAGTAGCAGAGAATAAAGAGATGCCAAGAAATGAAACCCCAGAATTTGAAGCAAAGATGTGGGAAAGCTACAAGGTTGACAAAGATCTCTCGACTGAGATGGAAACAGAACAAGGTTCATTGGACGACGAAGTTGATTCCAAGACCGAACCTGCTGAGACCATTGATCAGATGAATGAGCTTCCGTCAGATAATGGTGCGAACTCTGACTCCAAAAAGAAGAAAAAACCTTTATACCGGAAGTTCGGAAATCTACTCAAGAAGGGGATTAGCCCCCAAAAGTAGGCCCGTTTTAGGAACTGCAAGATAGCAGGTAAGAATATGTTTGTTCTTTTGGCTCCCTTTCAAATGAGGAAGTATGAAGGACTGAAAAGCCTGTATTATGTGTAGATTCTTTATTTCTTTTTTCTTAAGCATGTAGTATGTGATTTCTTTTTTTTTTTTCTTTATCCCTTGGTTTTACCCTTTGGCTTTGTATTCGACAGAAAGGGATTATAAATTTGTTCTACATCAGTATGTTTATTGCTGGTAAAACATGAAAGTGATCTGAGTTTTTGTCATTTCACTTGTAGGCTTATTCTTTATATATATGATCATTTGCTTCAACGAGGAATTGGCTGTTTGTGCTGTTGTATTGTAATGATGTTGTGTACATTTGATTACATGTGGTAGTACACTAGTACCTTAATTGTACGAGTAATTGTTTTGATTGATACTGGCGATAATGCATCATAAGTTTTACAGATTATGACTTTGTATGCAGCATATGTTTTTGACAGTCTGATTGTAGCAGTACTTTGCCTTAGCTGACTTTATAACCAGGCGAAGATGGACCAGGATGTTGGCTCAGTTAAGTTTTGCCCAGAAATGAGTAGCACAACAGTTAAAACAAGATGTGTGGCCGTGTGCGGACTGATGGTGGAGGTTCTGTTGTGTACTTCAGAATGCCTTTCGCCTATTTGTAATATCGATTTTATTCTGTTGGTAGTGTTAACTTAATTGCCAGAGTGATAAGGAGTTTAAAGGGATTGTGTTCCTAGTTGGTTTAAGTAATTTGACCAATTCATCCAACTATCCAAGTGAAATATAGAAATAGTTTGCAAAGGTTTGTTGTTGCCATTAGGTTTCTCATACAAGTGCTTTTGACTTGAAGGCCCAACTTACGGGCAATTTTGTTTTGTTTCTTTGCTCAAAAGACCTGGTAAAATTCCCATGAGCGCTACTTACTCGAATATATTTTATTTAGGTGACGAAATTACCTTAAAAAAGAGTCATATAGGGGGATAATTCATTGAAAGGGAAACTAATTTACTTTCTAATTTTTTTTTTGAAACGTTTAAGTTTAATTAGTTAGCTTAATGAGTGTTGTAAGAGTACTACAATGCCTATGAATCTTTGATCAAAATTATTAGGTGCATCCGGGTGTATAGTGCTCATTGTGCACCTCGTCAAATTAACAACATATGTTCGTGTTCTTTAGCTTGCAAATTATTACTCCGCTTCAGTTGTTAGACGACGGCAAATTAAAAAGGGGTACCGAAGACTAGAAGAGGATTAGAGGAGAAATCAGAAAGTTCGACATAGATTAGCCAAAGAACTCTCAATAAATTAATGATGATTACTACTTCGTATATCTTATTCTGGTAGTCCTAACGGGTGTGACACAAGCCCAAGTCTAATGATCAAAACCGGCCCTATATCCATAGAGTAAGTCCAAGGCATACAACTATCATGGAACATGGATCTTTTGCTATGTCAACTATCAAGACCCTCTCAAACATCAACATGGTGCCAAAAACAGTTGAAATGAAAGGAATTGTTCAAAGCAATGGATTGGGAAGGCTATTATAAATGGATATTCGTAAATCCAATTCACTCGATATAAATAAATGGACGAAAATCCGCATTAAACGGATGAAGGGCGGGTGACGGATCGGGTTGGATGCGGGTGGGGCTCCGTTCCATCCATCACCCGATCCGTCATCCGTATCACCCGATCCGTCATCCATCCGATATAAATCACTCCCTCCGTCCCATATTATAGTTCCTGTTTTCCTATTTTGGAGACCCAAAATATTGTTCCTGTTTCTATTTTTGGATAGTATGTAAAGACCATTATACCCTCATTTTTTATAACTTTATTCATTGAATTTCCTAATTCACCTTTAAATTATCCACTTGCCTTGTACTTTTTTTCACTTTCTCTCTCTAACTTTTGTCTATAATTGTACTTTTTTACTTTTCCCCTTAAATTGTTCACTTGTCTTGTACTTGTGTCTAGCTTTTTTCCACTTTTAATGTACTTCATCCACCTTTTCCTCCCATTTCTGAAATACCGTGAAAAACACAAACATGAACTATATATTGGGACGAAGGGAGTAGTTTTTCAAAAAAAAATTTGACCTTATATACTCTACTTGTATTTAAACAAAGTCCCTTAATAAAAAGTAGACCTGGCAATCTTGACCCAGACCCGATGACCCGACCCGAATGACTCGACCCATGACCCGAAATTGACCCGAAAACAGTGACCGAAATTGACCGAAACCGAAATCAACCCGACCCGACCCATACCTGACCCGAAGTGGAATTGACCCGACCTTGACCCAAAATCCGAAATGACCCGACCCGAAGTTGACCCGAGACCCGAAGTGACCCGAGACCGAAGTTTTCCTGACCCGATACTCAAAGTGATCCGACCTTTAACTTGAATTAATTGACCCAAATAGACTCGAAACCCAAAGTGACCCGAACTAAAATTACTTTATACCTGAAATGACCAGAATCTATTTAAGCAAACGATTTGACCTGAGCAAACTAAAATAGAAAATAATCGCAATCAAACTAACTTAATTTTTTTTTATTAATTTGTAATGTGTAACAGTGTAAGTATTTTACATATTTTGAGATTCTTGGAATACAAAATCTTCTAGGCCACTTGAATAAAAAAACGATTCCTGACCCGAAATTGACTCGACCCGAATTGACCCCGACCCGACCCGACCGAACTCGACCCGAAGTGTTGACTCGATACCCGACCCGACCCGATTATCAGTTGACCAGAACTCAACCCGAAATTCAAAATGACCGACCGACCCGAACCTGACCCGACCCGAAATGACCCGACCCATACCCGACCTGAATGACCCATTTGCCAGGTCTAATAAAAAGTAAGGAATGCTATGTAGCTTATCTACAGTAACATTCCACATTTGCCCTTGGTCCAAGTGAATTTGTTGCCTGGCTCTGTCTTCTTCCTTTTCCTGAATCCCTCTGATTTTTCATTTTCTTGTGTGTTTTTAACCAGAAATTGCTCCCATCTTTTCAATTTCTAGCATCCTCTCTCCTCTTTCTCTCTTAATTTCCTACCCTCCATATCTCCAATTCTCAATTATTCATCTAATAAACCCAAATTTTTAGCAATTGATGGTTACAATAGACGGCATCGTCGAGAGCGGTTTGGAACTCTAAATTTTGGACCCTCGATCGAAAGGGGTTTGAAAAGTGCTCTCTAAAACTTGCAGCGGCTCCTGACCTATGTCTCTTCCAATGGTGGTACCATTTTGTTTAGATCATCAACTTCATTGTCTAGGGTTTTGCCTTACAATTTCGTTAATTTGGTATGCTACTCTGTATTCCATTTTCATCATTTCAATAGCTATTCTTCAATTTTGCCTCGATTTGTGGGTGTCTTTTGTGAATCCTTGACGAAGACGACGATGCCTTCATTCTCCTGGTAATTTCCCCTTTTGTACTCATTTGTTAATTTTTAGGTTTTTGAATATTTTTCGATTTTTATTGATTGCTTATTTTTTTTTAAAGGTTTTTTTGGGTAGAATTTCTAGGTTTTCTGAATATTTTTCGATTTTTATTAATTGTTATTTTTTTGGTTTGTTTCGGTCGAATTTCTAGGTTTTATGAGGATTATATGAACATTATTATAGGCCAGAAATCTCATGATTAATCAGGACAAAAACTAAATTTTCAATCACTACTGTAAATTTCCAATTACTACTGTAAATTTCCAATTATATGTAAGTATGTATGGGTTGAAAGGAGTGTTTGCATAGAGAAAATACAGTATAGTGGTTTGTCAGTCTAAGGTTGATTGCCGAAATTTTTTTACTAATACCAACAACATAAGCCTAATTGATGATAGAAATCCTTGGTTGAATTTCCTTGAAGACATAAATTTTGCTTCTTTCACAGAATTATGACTTTGTTATGTACTTTGGCTTAAATTATTAAGCTACATTTCATTGAAATTATACAGCAAGGAAAGAAAGAATGTAGCTTTTCTAGCTTATAGTTTTATCTACTTATCTTGGATCTGATGATGTTGAAGTAAGCATCTTATATTTTCATTTGTTCTTATTGTGTATTCTTTTTTTCTAAATGGGTGTCACTCATGCCCTGGTAACTAGGGGGTGCTGGTTTTATTGGATCACATGCAGCACCAACACTTTTAAGACATGTATCATGAGACAATTGTGGTATCCTCTCCCTTTAATCATCCTTACTGTCCACTAATCTTTCTCGTGGGAACCTAGCTGCTGCAACAAATTTTTCCTAAACCAGGAAAACTTCAGTTTGATATGGGTTGCTGTTACTCAAAAGTGTTCATTTGAAGTACAAATAAGATCACCAGTGTAAAATTAAGGCATGAATTCAGTACCTTGTGACTGTGATCAGGACGGAAGGAGTAGTAACAGGCTTTTGTAATACAATTGCTTTAGGTTTTAAGGTTTGGGTAATTTTTTAGTGTTGTTTGATCTTCAGATTTGATGATTATGTTTTGTGTATTATTTTTTTTTTTTTTTTTTTTTTTTTTTTTTTTGTTGTTGATGTGTGTGATGTGTTTTGAGAGATTTTGGAATAGCTCTTAAGAAATGCAATCAGAGTAAAATTCTTTTGATTTTAAACCTAAATTCTGTTGATTTTAAATCAAAGTTGTATTCTTTTTCATTTCAGAGTGGTGAGTATATGATGTATCATTCTTCAAAGGAAAATATCTGTTATTGTAACTGGCAAACACTTTCAAAGGAGACCTCCTCTTGAGTTAATCCACTTTCAAAGGACAAGTAGCAAATATATATCTAATAAGCATGTAGAACATGAAGGTAATTTGAGATATTGTTTTTGACTTACTGTTGTATATTGTTGCCAGAATCATTGCATCACTCCATTAAAAAATATTTGTATATTGTTGATGATGTGAAAGATAAATTGGCATTCCTTTTTCTTGTTGATTGGTAAGTCTTGTCAGCTAAGTGTTTAGTTATTAGGTTTATGATGCTCTTTTTATATTCTGGCCCTTGTTAGGTTTTTGTTAATTAAATTAGTTGTTGTTGGTAGGATTATCATAAGAATGATAAAAGATTATCGGAAGATCGATAAAAGATTATTATGGTTTGTTAGCTCTCCCAAATGGATGTAAGAAGTATCATAACTACCTTTACAAATTATGACAGTTTCTATTTGATGCATGCTATGTTAGATTTCAATATTAGGAGGAACTCCGTATTTTTTAACTGAATACTTGACCTTTAAGTCTCTAAAAAAAGGTTTTTGTTATTCTGAAAATGCCTAGATATTTCAGTTTTGATATTCTGAAAATGCCTAGATATTTCAGTTTTGATATTTTGAATATGCCAAGATATTTCAGTTTTGATATTTTGAATATGCCTAGATATTTCAGTTTTGATATTCTGAAAGTGCCTAAAGATTTTTGAATAGCTTTTAAGAAATGCATTCAGATTAAATTTATGGAACTATTGGGTAAAGATTGAAGAGTTTTAAAGGCGTTAGAATTTTGAAATTATTTGATTAATTTAAATTGTTGGGTTTTTTGTTTTTTATTAGTCAATGAGAGTGATTATTTAAGAGGATTGGGTTATTCTTCATATCTGAACTTCTTAAAAGGATTAAGTTAATGTTGCAGTTTTATTCTATAATGCAACACAATGAGAAATATAATGACATTGTCTTTTAATGCATGCTATAGTATTTGAGCCAACTTCACATCTTATCTTTATATTTATAAAAGTTAATATGGGACAGTTGCAGTGTATGATTTCTTCACCTTTTTTTTTAATTTTTTAATTTTGTCTTTCGAATTATTCGACTGCATTCAAGTGCCTAACCTTGCTTTTATCTTGCGTTTTGACAGTATTTCGGGCAGTTTGGGTTCATTATATTCGATTGACGGGAAATGCTTTGGTGCCATGTTAAGAGAGTAAGCTATGTGTTTGGGATTGGATTCATATTCATCGCTTTTTTGACTTTGATATAGTAAACATGTTTATGTAACGGAATTTTGCATGGGAACTGTTTCTTGAATTTATAGATACATAATGTTATACACGAAACTTTAAGGTGAACATGGCTTAGGTAAACCAAGGATCTAGCGTAAACATGAGATCAAGAAGCTATAGACGGGTGTTTATGTAATATGGTATTCTCATTAAAAATGTAATCTCTACTCATCATATCAAAGGATAAAATCGTACGATGTGAGTTTAAACACCAAAATCATTTCTTGACTTTAAAGTACATATTTAAGATGAGAAAACGTGAGCCACTATTTTTAAACATTAATTGATTGCATATGTGATTTTTCGTATGAATATTCTGCTCAAATATCAGTTCTAACCAATCTTGGACTTGTGACCACTTAATGTTTGTTCTGATTGTGAAACTACGATTTTTTTTTGTTTTAATCTGTTAATTTAATTTGCTACTGATATAACCTATTCTTGTGTGCTTATGTGACCTTGGTTTGTGTAATGAAGGAATATCTTATTATGGATTTTGGGTATTGATTATATTGTCAATTTGTAAATTGTGATGTAGTACACTATAACGTGAGATAGTATTTGTTTATGTTAGACTTTTGCACCTTAAGCCCAACCTAAGAGTCATAACATCGGGAGACATTTATTCAGCATGCCATGAGTTTTCATGTAGTATATACGATATATTTACCATGGTTGCTTCTTTATAAATCAAATGCAGTTATTTCTGGCTCTTTGCACCTATTTGAACAATGTAATCTGTGTGCAGGGATTTTTATCAATAGCAGAGGTGAATACCAAAGGTATAGTTCTTAGGTTTCCTATCAGATATATGTCAGGCAATGCTTTCATGGTGGTTCAACACTCATGGTTGCTCATCTAAATGAGAATCTCCATGATATTGGGGCTTATTCGGTACAATTGTGCATGGACAGCCAAGAAGTCAACCTCAACAATTGATAGAATTTCAAGGCTTTTTAGGAGACTTTTTCTCCAGCATTAGCAAATGAGAATGGCCAAGAAAACCTGCAACTAGAGCCAATTGGTGAGTTTTAGAGAAATATTTATTTATGTCATGCTACATCAACATTATTTCTCTAATTTATAAGCTCCAAGTTGTGTCTCATGCCTGCTGAACCTCCCTTCCCCCCCCCCCCCAATGTGTACAATTAAAATCTCTCTCGAGTGGTGGTGCATGAAGGGATTCCTCTACCTTTAGGAGAGTGGTTTTTACAAAGACTTATATAAAGTTTAGTATTGCAAGCAAGTAGAAAAAGATTTCCTAACCTTGTGATACATGGGAGATAAGAGAAAGAGGGGGAGGCAGGGAGATAGGAACATCTACATATTCAAATGCTAAACTTGTAGCCATTGTCATATTCGTAATTTTCTCTTTATTATTACTTTTAAAGGATCTTTATTTGAGATGTGTTTCTAAAACTGGTGGGATAGTTATTGTTACGTAGTTGATGCTTGATCATGCTTAGTCACTCTGACTTTATTACCTTTGATGGATGTCTAAGTAAAAGCATTATGTGATGGACGTTTTTGGGCCATTTTGTTTCATAAAATCGGTTTGCTAGGTGAGTACTTTGCATAAAGATAGTTTTGGGATTTCTATTGTTTCTTTTGTTGGGGTTGATGGTAAAAGGTATTATTGCTAAACTGGAGTGTAATAGAAATTAGAATTTCATTTAACTTTGTTTCGTATCTGAAAGTGTTGTTGATATCACAGTGGAGAGATCTAAATTTCTCTTCTTTTGTATGAATTTATCTATCGATCATTCAAATAAACATACAATTTTAGATTCGGTGTCTTTTACTTATGTATTTAATTTGGGTGAATGGTGAGTTTGATGAAGGAATAGTATGGGTCTTATCTGGCAAATAGAATTAGTTAGGATTTGGTTTTATGTGGCAACAAGAAGGAATGTTGCCTTTTGGATGGAAGCCAAAACTTGTGTCATTAATTCATCCAGTAATTTTCCACAAAGTTCTTATGCTGTTTGTTTAGTGTACACAAACTTCAATTCTTGTATGAAAATTTATGTCTAGGGTAGCTGTTTGGTGTGCGTGTGTGGTCTATACCTTAGCATTATGTCTAATTCTTTGGCTTTCGTGTATGAAAATTTTATGTCTAGGGCAGTGACTGTAAAGAAATGACATAATGTTTTTACTTGATGTGAAGTGTTTGGTAGCTAACAATTACGTTATTATTTTGTTCTAGGATAAGCATTCTCGTCGAGGATTGCAAGCAAAGGTGCATCAAAGGATGAAGCTGTTGAAATAAATGGGAGTCCTATTGCTTTGTTCTTTCAAAACTTGGCCTTTGTGACAGCCTGGTTACATGAATTATGATTGTATGATGATTACTAAGTTTTCATTGCAGTAATGAATATTTTGCCTTTAATCTTTTTGCTTCTATATTCACTTCAAGAAGTCCTTTGTTGGTTTAAAATCAAAGGTGCTAATGGTAGCTGAGATTAGAAATATTAATGCATCCTTCCATTTTGTCTTAATTTTGTATACAATGCGTAACGTGATTCAAAGTTCCCATGTAATAAAGTTGAGTATAGCAATATCAGGTTGACGAATGTTTGATTTCTTGGGGGATAAATGCCCTTTTGTAAACATAGCATTTGCTTTGGCTACTTTATCTTGCATTGTCAAGGAAAGAGGATGAAATGTAGAGTTATTTTTCTGTAGAATGGTACTTATTATGTCTCTTCAATGGTGGAGAATAACTTCTCTCAATTTTTCAAAGGTTGATGATAGGTTGATAACGACACGAACCGTTTTATCAGAGGGGTAGGCAATAGGTTTCTTGGCTATTAGTGAAGATTTTGGTAGATAAAATTGTCAATTGCTATTTCAATTAGGCATAGTCCAGCATGGAAACTATGAAAATAAGTCTATTTTCTATATCATTAATTGATACCCTAATTTATTTTTTGCATTACAATTTGCCATCACATGAATTGGTCTTGATGTCCAACTGTCTTAGGCATTGCATTTGTGAATTGCTAAACATCGCCCGCAAATCTTCACATAAAGCCACAAATTTGAAATGAAATGACATTTTTGCCCTCAACATCAAAAACACACTTTCATCTTAAAACACACTGTTATGGCTAATAAACGGGAAGTGGCGGCACCGGAGGCGGGAGGCGGTTTCGCGGTGGAAGTAAACAAAGTCGCCAGATCGCGAAGGAGCCGTTGTGGCAGCGCCCCACCCAAGCGCCACAACCACGGTGACGACGCCTGGCCAAGACGCCACCGCCACGGTGGCGGCGCTTGGGCAAAACGATGTAGCCACGGTGGCGGCGTCCAACCAAAACGAAAAATAAAAATAAAAATAAAAAATATACCGAGGAGGTGGCGCCTGGCCAGGACGCCACCACCGTGGCTGGGGCGCCTGGCCAGGACGCCGCCACCATGGTAGTGGCGAACTTGCCAACCGCCATTGCCATGGTGGCGGCGTCCTGGCCAGGCGTCCCAGCCACGGTGGCGGCGTCCTGGCCAGGCGCCACCTCCACGTTGGCGGCGTCCCGGCCAGACGTTCGCCGCCAAAACTTGATTTTTAACCACTTCGGACCTCGTTTTCCGGCGACGACGGCGGCTCTGTGGTGTCCTCGGCGATCCGGCGCTGTTCCACATTTTGGGTGAGAGAAAATTTCGTTTTAGGTTAAAATTAGAACAAGGGTAAAGTTGTCAAAAATTTATAAATTGTGGGCTTTATGTAGAAAAACGCGTGCGATGTTTAACAAGTCCCTTGCATTTACATTGAAATATGTTGTATATATGGGTAGTCTGTGCAACTTCTCTTTGTAAAATAGTTTCATTCTCAATGACTATGCAAAACGTAAATCAAATGCATACAAGGTAATGTACTAACCACGTTTTTCAAATGTGCTTTGCATGTATGAAGCTATGAGTAATTTCATTCTTTCGTCAACAAAAAAAAATTATTATGCTAATCTAGTTAATTGGGAATTCAAATTAAATGATAATTTTTTGCCACGATTAATTCCTTGGAGCTTCATTTTTAAGAAAAGCTTGAGTTCCTACAAATCGGAAAATATTTGTGGCTAGTTTAGCAAATATTATTCATTGGTTGATTGTTTAATGGGTTTTTCTATATAGTAACCTTGTTAATTTAACTTTTCTACGTTGTGCCCCAACTTATATCACTTTCTACACTGTAACCCCAATATACATTTTGTTTCCATACGGTAACCTTGTCGTTATCCCGCCGTTACAAAATTCCGGTAATGGGGCCCACTCTCCATTTATTAATATTTTTTTTATCGATTTGCGTATTGGAAAACCTTCCGTTAAAGGTTTTGGGGGCTACTTTAGTTCTATGGGACCAAATTGAGCTCAGATTTCACAAAAAAGTAACGCAAATGCCTTGTTTTGCGTATTAAAACGTGAACACGTAAATCGAGACTTTTATAATACGCAAAACAAGGCATTTACGTTACTTTTTTGTGAAATTTGAGCTCAATTTGGACCTCTAAAGGCTAAAATAGCCCCCAAACCCTCTAACGGAAGGTTTTTCAAATCGATAAAAAAATATTAATAAATGGAGAGTGGGCCCCATTAACGAAAGTTTTTAACGGCGGGATAACGACAAGGTTATCGTATGGAAACAAAATGTATATTGAGGTTACAGTGTAGAAAGTGATATAAGTTGGGGCACAACGTAGAACAGTGAAATTAACAGGGTTACTATATAGAAAAACCCTTGTTTAATTTATAATTGGATATATACTAATCGGCTTATTAAAAAATTCATAAACAATACATTAAAAACGTTTTTCACTAATTACCTTTTGCAAAATTAGGGGGGTGTGGGCGCCAACAACAAGTATTTTTCTAAAAATTATTAAATATTGTTTTAAAATAGAGAATTGAGGGTGAATAAAGATGTGTATATTATTCTATAAAATTGGGATATATATAAACATATACAATAGCTAGAGTTCTCTTATAAAATACTAAACCCTAAACCTATAATATTCCAAAAAGTACAGGAAATATAATGGGCATCCACATTTATTTCATAACACTCCTCCTTGGATGTCCATTATCGAAGACTGTGCCAAGTTAAAACCTTATCAGGAAAAACCATGTGGGATAAAAACTTAATTAAGGAAAAAGAGTACATCATTTTTCGTAATACGCTCACGATGCTGCCTCATTAAAAACCTAACCAGGAAAACCCAATATGGGACAAAACCATGGTCAAGGGAAAAAGAGTGCAGCGCGTATTTTCTCTCCCTGATGAATGTATAGCTTGAGATCTTCTAATGCTAATAGTTGAGTATCTTCTCACATGACGCAGAATAGTACCATTTCTTGATCTTTGATCCTCCCAAATCTTCAAATCTTCACCCGAACGAGTGAGTCTTCATATCACCATACTTATGATAATAATACATGTGTTTGTCCACAATTCATTCGAAATCTCTGTTTAAAGTTGCCTTAATCATTATACTTATGCCTTCTTTTGGAGGTCGATCGACATATTTTGTAGAAATTGATGATCAATAATAGATCATAATTTATGGCAATACGTGATATAATTGTCCAATTTTATAAGATAACTACCCACATACATCACTCATGATTCTTCTGGTCCATAAGAAAATTATTCTCGTCGAAAGATATCTCAATGCTATTTTTTTTTGGAAATTTCATATTTAATATTAGAGTTCGCCAATGAATACAAAGACTGATTGAATCTCACATACTCAAACTTCAAGTTGAGATATTAATGATGTAGTCATATTAACTTTTCAGGAGTTTGATAATAATTGAAATATTCAAGATATAAATTTTATAGGGCTGGGTATTTATATACGTCGTATATAAGATCTTCAGGACTCTTTTTACATGATTCATAACATGCTATTAAATCGACGTCATCAATAATTTCATCACAACTGTAAGCCCATTAGAATGTAAATACCTCTTTGTAATTTTCCATCAAAGTTATAAATACACCTTACTATACCTTGGACGAACATTCACACATACCATAATTATTATATAGAAATTAGTGCATGCAATTTGAGATATAAAAATCATGATAAGATATTGAACAAAATATACAATGAGTAATGCATCTAACAACTTTCTACACATACAATAAGTAATCCATTAACTTATGACTCATGCATGCACATGGACAAAAGACTCAAAATAATGCAAGACACTTTACAGTGTGGATTTAAAAATCCATATTTCATTGGAGTTTGGTCCATGATAAACTTTTGATCATTATCATTATGTCGACATCAAAACGGACATATATTTCAGATCCCTTATCCACTAGTCCATTTTATCATGCATATGCATATTATTCGTCGGTTCCATAGGATACCGGTATTATAAAATTCAGGTTGATACAATTTCGCATGCTATTTTACAATGATATCTGAATATATCTCCAATCGGTACCATTATTAATTTTTTCATATCATAGGCCATCTATTATAGTTCATATTTCTATACCACCTATCAAGGGTATTTCTCACACTATAATATTAATATACTATAATTATACTTTAAAAGTATCAATTGCACTTTCTTTCCATATGTCACATATTTATATTGGAACCGATCGCACAATCTACACTTCAGGTGTAGTGATTCAAAGAAAAATTGGTAAGATCTACCTTAATGTATGCACATAATATCATTATCACTATGATCAAAATATATCTCTCTATGCCTCTAGATCGATGGGTCATAACAGTATACAAATCAAATCATAGATGTGCAACATATGTTGATACAAAAGTTGGCATGTAACTTTACAAAGTATCATTAGAGGGATCAACTAATTATAATTTTATAATTTTGCCAACTTACTTCAATTGTTCTCCCCCTAAGTTGGTAAAATATCTCAAATATTGGGGCAATTCTTAACCAACTTATAATATATAATTTCATGAGTAACAAATTTCATCTCGTAGGATAATCATATTCAACAAATTTCTATCTCTTCTGGAGAATAACAAAATTTTGTTCTCTTCCAGAGGTCAATATTAATAAGGGGGTCATGAGTTGTGCAGTTGTCTATTTTCTTATTCTATTATTCTTATGTGCTAACATAAATAGCCCCAATTAAGAAATTAGTCACTTGAATGTAAAGCCACTATATGGTGGTCTTCTAATTCTCCAAATACGTTACTTTAATAATGAGTTTCTAGCTACTCTAAATCACAAGTTGTTTTAGTGAGTTTCTGGCCACTTATTACTTGTTCACATGCAAATTTGTTCAAAACTAATATATAATCTATTGAAATTTCTACAAAACAAACTATTAAATCACAATCCAAATATAGCTTAATTTCAACGTTATGTCTTGTCATTCAATTCATTTCATATAACTAACGTTCATATAACTAACGTGAGAGAGCGTCAGCACATTATTTTTATATCAAATGAACCTTCGAGTTTCCAAAACGGGTAATTATTAAACCCGGATGGCCTAATTTAATTATCTCAATCACTTTTCTGAATTTAGATTCTGGTCAGTTTTACAACACTAGTGATTACTTTATATATATATAAACATATTTTA